CCGAACCGGGGCCCTCTGGCATCCCAAGCGAGTTCTTAACCATCGCGCCACTCGGCCGGCCCCCCCCCCATCCCTCTTAAATTCATGGCTCCAGTAAGGAAATGTTTACTGATTATTTATCTATACCTGATACTAGGATAAAGTCTCTCATTTCACTTAAATTCTGGTGGTAGGAGATAGACAATACACAGGTCAATAAAGAAAGAAAAATAATCATGGATTATGGTAACACAGAAGAAAACAGGTGATAGAGAATTAAGTGGGAGGGGGCGCATTTGAGATAGGGTGGTCAGAAAAGGCTCTCTTTGGAAGCGATACCTAAACTAAAACCTAGAGAAGGTGCCAACCACGTGAAGGGCGGCAGAAGAACGAGTGGTTCAGAAGCTGCAACATTGTGTGTGTTTGAGGGACCTGATGTGTTTGACAAACTCCCCTAAGGATTCTCGGCCTAACAAGTTAGTGAATGAGAGGCAGGAACAAGCTTCCACCTCTCCACCATCAGAGACTCAGTGTCCTCTTTTCTTTCCTTCGGGCTTGTGGGAAATGGATGGCGCCAAGGAGCACTCACGTGGAAGGCAAACTGGCCGGAGAAGTCGTACATGCCACAGGAGTGCATGAGGCTGAGGGTGTTGCGCACTGCTTCGGCGCTCAGCACACTCTCCCCTGTGATGGGGCAGATCCCGCCATTGGCCAGAGTGGCTGCCATGACACTGCCTGATTCACAGGTTACCTCCACGGAGCACAGCTATGGAGACAAGGTAGAGGTGAGAGTGAGGTGTGGACCTGAACACTGTGCTCTTGGGTGGAGAGCAATGTTGGCATCCTGATCTTTCAACAGGTTCCCCTGGTGTTTCTGAGGGACACCAGAACCACTGGAGAGGAGAATCCCTCTGAGTCAGAGCAGGGATTGCAGTCTGTCCTGTTCCCTTGGGCCCCAGCTGAACAGCAGTGTTTGCTTACCTGGAAGTAGAGATCGAGGGCAGCCATCATGTCCACCCCCTTAGGAAAGCACTGCAGAGAACAAGAGGGGAGAACATTTCTCTTCAGGCCATCAGCAGTCCCCCTTCACACTACCAGGATCTCAGCCAAAGCCCCCAACCCCGACTGCCCTTCCCCAAGCCACAGAATCCCCAGAGACTTTCTGTACCAGCCCCTCCCAGTTACCTTCTTTTCCTTTAGATAATAGCCGATGGCATAATTCCGATCCCCCGTTTCCTTCTCTGACTGGAATCTGAAGCAAACACTCAATTTAGTACTTGACGTTTGAGGGGTGGGTGTGAGGAGAAGGGGGGAAAAAATACCTTCCCTGAGAGACAGAACTAGATCACATATGTTAAATAAGTCAGCCCCTTATAAATTCTCACAGTAATTCTGGAGGAAAGTTCTGCCTCTGAGCAAGCACGAGGAAGAGCTTTATTATAAAGCGTGAAAAAAACCAACATCCCAAATCGTCTAGTCATCTAGTCTGGGAAAACTGCTAAGGTTTTTGGCTTTGAGAGGCTTGGGAAGAAACCCTCACACCGCCTTGCTCATTAAATACTAAATAGAAATGGAGTAAATTCTTTTACAAAGTAAATTAATATCAATGAAGGGGCTCAGAGGAAGCTGGGAGGCCAAAGTTCCCCTGGGATTCCTTTCTTCTGAAATTCTACCATCCCCCTCCTCCATCACACACACACACACACACACACACACACACCCCACACCACCCCCCACAACACATTTGGCCAATCCTGTGTACAGGGCCTTACGTGGCATTGCTGAAACCCATGTATTCATTCCCAGCCATTTTGTTCAGATACTGCAACACCTAGAAGAGAAAAGGGGGCATGGAAGATACCACATGAGTGAGGACCCCTGATAAACACATATGAGGCTGTTTAACTCTAATGAACTCCTCAGTCTTTATCCCAGCAGGGACCTCAGAGGCTTTCCTCTCTGAGGCCAGCACATTCCCACACTTCTGGAAATAAGGCTTCTAATGAGGGCTGGTGCAATATCAAAGTGGGGTTAGAGCCAGGGGGTGGCTACAGAGGATAACATGCCATGGAGAAAAGCAGTCATGGGCTGAGTAGCAAGGAAACTTACAAAATCAAACTTCTCTGCTTTGTTACAGTCCATCTACAAAGAGAAAAAGAGAGAGACCAGTATGCCAAGCCTAGAAGGATGACGGGAGGGTCGAGGATGCAGGGGAGGGTCAGAGGAACCTAGGAGTTAAGTGTTAGACTGGTTCCTAAGAATGTGTTACATTTTACAATGACTTTTTCCTTTCCCTCCCTCCCTTCCTTCCTTCCTTCCTTCAACAGGTGAGACTTTTTGTATCCCTGCATATTGAGTGACCTTAAAAACCAAACCATTTAGATTTTATTATCAAGTAATGAATAAACATAACCTCACCCCATCTATGAGCCTCACTCATCCCTGGGTTTCAGTCCCATTTCCATTCTCAATCCTAACCCTTATCCCCAACTCCCACTTTCATCTTCCTGATTCCAATCCTGTCCCCAACCCCTACCCCCATTCCTGATCCCCATCCCCATTCTTTACACCCCAGGCTGGAGCCTTACTCTATCCTTTCCCCGACTCCCATAGCTATCTCCAAGATTGGAGTGTGTGACAGGAATGGGATGAGGATGTGTGTTGCCTATATTATAATATTCAATTATATCAATTATATTGATAATTGAAATAAAGCTAAAGATTTTAGCTGAGACTCAAATCCAACAGGGCCTGTTTAGATGGGAATGGGATGAGGCAGGTCCCAGATACAGGGTTGTAGCTAGAGCTATCCCAGAGCAAGGGGAGGGCCTGAACCTGGTCTCCCCCCACCCCCATTACTTCTTGCACTTGTCAAGTATCGTGTCAACACCACAGGGACTCTGACACCTAAGTCCCTGGGGGGAGGGTTCCTAACACCACCTTCCCCAGGATGGGCTATGATTGGCTCCAGAGTACTGCTGCCCACATTACTCTCAGGTTCTTGCTCAAGCCCTGGGAGACCTACAGCTGACAAGTCAGCCTGACTCCTTTGCTCAAGGCCAACTCACAGTTCCAGGTGACGTGAATAGCTGCCCTGGCCTGGCCATTCACCCTTCTTTCTGTGTGTCCCTCACCCAGCAGTGGCCAATCAGCGCCTAATAGTGCTGTCCTCCCCTTGTGTCTGGCATTTGGCCCTTAGTCCTAGGAAGGGGTCAGGACCTGTTCACTTCTCTATGGGTCAGGAAGCTCTGGGCTCCAGACTCATGGGTGGGGGCAAGGGCACAGTTCCTTTTACTGACATCCTCAGTATAATATGTGTCCTCACTGCCTCCTGGGGACCCTCAAAGGAATTAAGGCCCCACCAGTCTCCCTGGAGAGCTGGGGAGATATGACGGATATAGGAACAAGGGGGTTTAGAGAAGGCTAGGGTAGCACTGACCTTGATCAGGGAGCTCACGACAATGGCACCAGCATTGACCATGGGGTTATGGGGGATTCCTGGGGAAATACAAAACACCCCCCCCCAAGCATCTTATCAGCCACTGCACAAAACCTCATTTATAACCTGCCCACTCCGCTGGCTAGTCTAGAAAGATTTCTTTGCTGGGGAGGATGGAATGACAGAGCTAATCAGGAAGGGCAGAGAATAAACAAACAAAAAAGGCTGGGTGTGGGGCGTGGGGATGAGAAGGGGGCATCCACGAGTCTGGTCTGAGCCCTGACAGTGCTCACCTTCCTCGTTGAGGGAGAGCTTGTTGTAGCGCAGCCCGCTGGGCTCCTTGCCCACGAACTTGTGCACGTAGTCAGTACCGAGGGTGCTTACAGAGATGGCATAGGTGAGGGGCTTCACACAGGACTGCAGGCAGAAGGGGATCTTTGTGTGGCCCACGGAGTGCCTGGAGGCAGACAGGTGCCATGAGAGGTCGCCCTATGTTCTGCACCTGTGCGCTGCCTCCCCTTCCTCTCACTCACCGCTGACCATCCACAGTGCACAGGGAGACACCCCACAGTTCTGGATTTGACTTGGCCAGCTGAGGGATGTAGGCTGCCACCTGGTCATGAGTGGGTAGAGAAAACAGAGGCAGAATGTAGAGAAGGGGAACAGAATTGAGGTTTCAGGTCAGGAGAATCTTTTAGATAAAAGTGAAAAAAAAATTTTTTCTGCAGGGCAACAGCGTTCCCGCCTGCCTGTTGTTCCCAGAGACACCCAGGCCTTAAGTCCTAGAAAGCCTTATCTCTCTGTAGCTCTGCTCCTACAGAGATGACAATAAAGCCCATGGAAGGTAAAAAGAAAGTTCTGGGGTCAGCTTCCCTTTTTGGTTCTTAGGCTCAATTGCTCTATAGGTCTTTTTCAAAGTTCTGTTGAGTCCTTATGCCAAATGTCCCCACAAAAACCTTGGATTCCCTCACCTGCTCTAGAAATCACACGTATAGAAATACATACAGCCTTGTCCCCATTTTTAGAGGTTCTGCTTCTCATCTCTCATCCACTGGATTCCCAGCTCCGGGAAATCTCCAAGAAGCAAGGTTTATCTAGCCCAAAACCCTTGCCCCTCCCTTAGTCCCCTGGCCCTCACTTTGCCTCCAGTGAGCTCTTTGGCATCTTCAAAGATGCGATCCACATGGTCCGTGAACTCCTCAAAATCAGGAATGACAAACTTCTTTCGGAATGCCTGGGTCAGGAGCACAATGTTGCTGCTCACACACCTGGATCCCAGACATGATTGGGTTAGGGAGCTGGAGAGATGCACCTGTGACTCACTCTAGAGCCATGGAATTGGGGAAAAAGGTGTGAGCGGTCATCAGGTTTGGGACCAATAGCTGTCCCAAAGCTTTGGCACAATCATTTTATCTTTCTGGGTCTTAAGTTTCTTTGCCTCTAAAATGAGGGGTTGTAATAATGTGGAATGCTATCCCAAGAAAAATAAATACCTAAATAATATGTATAGTAGGTCACTGTTATATATTAAAAAATCCTAAATCATAAATATATTTACATATATTCCTATATATATGTAAATGCATAGGACATTATCTAAAAGGTGCCCACTAATCTGTTAACAATGTTTACTTCTGGGAAAAGGGACTGGGATTGTGGAGAGAGGGAAAGCAGAACATGTATTTCTATATTGTTTGAAGTTTTATAATGAGTATATATGCATATTCATGTGTTTCTTGTGTCATAAGTAATAAAATAAAAAGAAGGGTTGAACTATCCAATCCCCAAGATCCCTCCCTGCTGTTATAGTTTATGTCCAAGAACAGTGTTGAGATGGGTGCCCTTGTTTCTGGGGCCCTCACTTTCGGAAGAGATCTCGATCCAAAAGGCCACCACTGCTGGCCTCTCGCACTGTGCGGCGCATCTGGCTCATGCAGTCCCGGAGCCGGGGATCTGACGTCTGAAGTCCGGTGGCCTTCAGTGCCTTCAGGGGAAAGAAGAAGCTGGTAAGGTAAGGTCACCTGCAAGGACAGTAATCCATCCTAATAATCTTTCCCAATGGTTAACAATTAGCTCAACCCCAACTATTACAATAGGTGGAACAAATAGGTTTGCAGACTAAGATAGGAGGGGATAGGGCAGCTTTAAAGGCTAATACGGGGTTTCCTACCCTTTTTCATCAAGGCAGCTGGTTTCTGAACCCCTTAGGTAAAAGTCTCAAACCAAGAAGATGAATTGAGTCAGAGGGTTTAATTTTCCCACCCTGGGGCAGGGATGGGATTGTCTCATCAGCCTAGGCATCTCCTATTCTTCATTCTCATGAAGCAGTCCATCAGCTGCCCTGCACTTGTCCTACCCTCCTCTTCCCACTTTCCAGAGATCCTAAGGGATTAGGGTTCTGAGCAGGAAGAGAGGAACTTACAGTAGTGAACTTGTGGATTGGGATTCGTTCCTGTCCCTCAGCAATTGTGTAGAAGAGCAGATCAGCCAAGCGAGACAGCATGCCACTCTCTGACGAATCACTGTTTTGGGGCAGAGATAGGGAAGGAGGACAGGAACCTGAGAACTGTTCCTTGCTCTTCCTCCTGGAACATGGGCTTATAAGTAGGTAGATGTCCTCATTGTCAGCCTCCTCCCTCAGCTATCTGATCTATCCCTCTAATTCCAACTTTCACATATGTCCTGAGAAGGCTTAAAATTTACTCTCTAGCTTTCTTTTGTTCTCGACCTTAATCTCTAGCTGCCTTCTAGACACTTCCAATTCTAGATGTCCCACAGGCACCATAAACTCAGCATGTCCAAACCTGAGGTCATCTCACCTTCTCTGTTCCTCCTTTTGTGTTTCCCATCTGGGTTAATAGTTTTACTACTTATCCAGGTGCCAGGCTGGAAACATGGAACCATTTGGATAACTCCCATAGTTTACATCCATGTTCAGTTGATAACCAACATTGGATGAATCTATCTCTATAATGTCTCTCAAATCCACCCTCTTTTGTTCTCCTCTTATGCCACCATGGTATAGTAGAAAAAAAAAAACCAGAGTTTGTCCCTTAGTGGCTCTGTGATCTTAATATGGATAGTAATGTTATTTACCACTGCTGAACCTGCTTTCTCATCTGTAAAATAAGGGTAGTAATGTCTGCTTCACATGGGTGATATGAGGCTTCATTAAAATAATGTTCTATGAAAAACTGTCTTTCACAAAGTAAATGCTCAGTAAATCATGCTTCCTTATCATCAGCTCCTTATTGTCGTTAGACCTGTCTACACTCTTGATTTCCAACCCATCTTCCACAATGAGTCAGTTACCTTTCTAAAACTCAAATATCATTTCTTTACTCAAAAACCTTTGATAGCTCCCTAAGTGCCTACAAAATAAGTTATTATTTCTTAGTGTGGCATTCAAGGCTCTTTAGAGCTTGCCAACATTTCTTTCATATTCTCCACCATGGCCCCACCCTACAGTTATGGCAGGTAATAGGTGGCTCCCAGAATGGGCCAGGCAATGTTGGGCTTCCTGGTGTTGCTTATGCTGCAACTTCAGCACGGAATAACCTTGTTCTCCTTCCCTTGGCATAGTCCTGCTCATCCTTCAAGGTCCAGGTCGGACATTTCTAACTAACTCTGTAAAGGCTTCCTCAAGCCTCCAGGTTTTGCTTATGCTGCTGGTATGACACAATACACCATCTTACTGACAGAGGATCTCCCTTGCTTCACTGTTAGGTCTTGGTGTTTTGTGTCTTTATCTTCCTAGAATTGAGCAAAGTCCCTAGAACCCAGTGGGTCTTCAATAAAGAATTACAAAGTTACATTTCTAGGAAGTTCGCTGCTTCCCAAATTCTCTCTCTTGCTGGCTTACAGCACCTAAAATTCCAGGTACTTAAGACTTCTTGGTCTTCGAGAGTTCTCCTATTAATGTTTCCAGATTTAAAGGAATTATTTTATCAGATCACTCCAAATGTGAGAGCTATTTGAAATTAAGACCCTTCAAAACCCCCTGACCCAACAATTTGGCTTCCAGGTATTTATCCTATAGGTGTACTCACATACCTATAAAGTAACATATTCACTGCATGGTTAGCAAGACTGGAAACTACCTAAACATGCATCAACAGGGAATTGGTTAGGTAAATTAGTCTATTCATATAATGGAATTATTATGCAATGTAAAAATAAGGACTGAGTATTGATGTTGAATGATCTCTAAAACTGTAATAGTAACTAAAAGAAGCAAGCTATAGAACATTGTTTATAATATGGTACTATTTATGTTTAAAAAGGAAATATATATATATATGCATATATATATATATGTTTGCTTTTTCAGACACAAAATATTTCTGGAAGACTGATTTATCTCCTTCTAGGGAGATGAAACAGGTGCTGAACAAAAGGAGTGAGAGGCATATTTCCCACTATATATCTTTTAGTATATTTTGAATTTTGAACCATATAAATATGAAATATACTATTGAATATAATATATATGAACATGAATATATTATCTGTTGAAACAATGCATTAAAAAATAAAATGCCTCTTGAGAAGCTTGGCACAGATTAGGCGCGCGCGCACGTGTTGGTCTAAGGAGGAATACCAGGAGAGGGGGCAGTTTTCCTGTTTCTGAGGAAATCCAATTGTCACAATGAGCCTAGTGCCTATAAGGAAGCGAGGATGACAGAGGAAGGGAGAAAGAAGATATCCGAGAAATAACTCAAGAAGAAAATTATTTAGGAATACTTTGAGGGCAGGTCTTTCTGCTCAGAAGCTGAAGGAAGACAGGAAATAATGCCACACCACTAAATGTATTGCAAGCCTTAAGAAATTTGCATACTGTTTGACCCAGATATGGATTGATCTACAAAATAATGTTGAGGGGAAAAAAGCAAAGTGCAGAACAATGTGTATAGTATGATATCATTTGTAATAAAAAAGGGAAACTAATATCAACATGTATTTACTGATATATGCATAAAATATCTCTAGAATGTTATACAAAATATGAGGTATGATAAAAAACAGTGAATATTTAAATTAAAAAAAGTATTACAGCAAAAGACAGTTGCCATTAATCCCCCTCAAAATACTCCCCCTTGCTTCTAACACACTTATCCCATTGTTCTTGCCACTTTCTGAGGCAGCTCTGGAAGTCTTCTTTGGTGAGTGTCTTTAGCTGTGCTATTGTGGCTGTCTCCATATCCTGAATCGATTCAAAAAGTTTTCCTTTCATGGGGTGGCCAGTTAGCTTACGTGGTTTAGAGCACAGGCTCATAACATCAAGATTGCCGGTTCGATTTTCACATGGGCCAAGGAGCTGCGCCCTCCACAACAAGATTGAAGACAACTACTTGACTTGGAGCTAATGGGTCCTGGAAAAACATCCTCCACAACTAGATTGAAACAACTATTTGACTTGGAGCTGATGGGTCCTGGAAAAACACACCGTTCCCCAATAAAATTTCTTAAAAAAAAAAAAGAAAAGTTTTCCTTTCATGGTCATTTTGACTATGGGGAAGAGCCAGAAGTTGCACGTGCAAGATCCATGAATGAGGATACACCGTAATGTTTTTATTTGACAGACATTGTCATATACCAGAAGCAATGTGTGACATGGAGCATTGGCATGATGGAGAATGATTTATTGCACACTTTAAAACACACCTTCTCTCAATCATAGCTCACACCCAAATGACTGCACTGAACAAGTTGAAACTTGTTATACACTGTTACTAAGGAGCAACACACCACTTCCCGTATTGAAGATCCCTGCCTTTCTGTTGGATGGCACTCAGCAGTAGCATTCACTGGATTTTGCAATCACAATGGAAAGGCTTCATGTCATGGCTTCTGGTATGGCAATTTCTGTCAAAAAAAACCATTACGGTGGGTCCTCATCCACCTATTCACTGGATCTGGCACTGTGCAACTTTTGACTCTTTCCCAAAGCCAAAATGACCATGAAAGGAAAACATTTTTAATCGATTCTGGACATGGAGGCAGTCATGACAGTGCAACTAAAGACACTCATGAAAGAGGACTTCCAGAACTGCTTCAGAAAGTGGCAAGAATGATAGGATAAGTGTGTTCAAAGTGAGGGGGAGTAATACGAGGAGGATTAATGGCGATGTGTCTTTTACTGTAATAAAATTTTTTAATTTAAACATTCACTGTATTGTTTGATCACACCTTGTATCGGTGACATGTCTCTGAAGAGCAAAATTTACTAGTAATTTACTTGAAGAAATAATTGAACCAGTGTACAAAAAATACGTAGTAACTAAATTGAAGATTGGTTAAGTAAGTTATGATACCTCACACAATGGAATCTTAAAATGGCAAAATGGTAGCCATTAAAATGACAATATCATACATACACATTCAATATTAAAAGCTGTTGATAAATGGAAAAAACAGGTTACCAAAGAATATGAATGTTATGATCCTATTTTTGTTAATTTTATATACCGGGTGTGCCAAAAAAATGTACACATTTTAAATGATGTTATCCATGTATTACTTTTCAAGTTGAATTGAATTACGGTGGCAATGTGTAGTATGAGGTTCACTCAAAAGATGGCATTAGCTTGCGCAAGAGTGAGAGCTCTGAGCAACAGTGGTTCGAGTCCCAACTCTGCCCAAGCTGAGCTGCCACTGAGCTGCCAACAGGTGGCTCAGCTAAAAAAAAAAAAAATGGCAATCAAATGAATGCTAGTGTTATTCACTGTATTCTAATTTTAATACCGTTTTTTTCCTTTCTTAAAATGTGTATACTTTTTTGGCACCCTTTGTATACATATATAGGATATATATGGATACATATCACAAAACTAACTGGTTACCTCTAATACTGGGATCTTTATTTTCTTGATACTCTATCTTATTTTTCTTTTATAATCAGAAATATAACAAAGTTAAATATTAAAAACAAACAAACAATAACCTGAATAACAGGGCATTTTCTCTTTGCTGCTCTCCTCCCCGCAACCCCAAACACAAGAACCCTTCCCCTACATGGTATCATGCTTCCAGGGCCCATCTCCCTCCAGTGCTCTCAACTCCTTCTGCCCAAGAGAGCATCAATCCAAGGCCATGAGCATGAAGTACCTGGGAACACAGGCAGCCACAGACAGGAAGATCAAGCTTCCTAAAAACACTCCCATCACCTGACTCCACTGGATAAGGAAAGGGGACAGGAGACTAGGGACACTTCCCGTTCCCCATCCCACAGAAAATGTGAGTGTGAGGGAGGTGAAGCCTTTGCTCTATCCCACCACCATTTCTTCCATGGCAATTATTTGGGGGAAAGTTGAGGGAGAGAGAGGACTTATTCTTTCAAGTTTAAATGTTCCATGTCTCATTGAGAAGAGGCTCACGGAAAAGTACAGCATAATAATTACTAATAATAAATAAATATATACTACCTTATTGATCTGTTACCTGTCAGGACAGGGACTCCAGTGGTGGTGAGGTAGTGCTGTGTCTGTCTGGCTACTTTAATTATGGTGTGCATGTCTTTCTGAATGCCATCAGATGCCAATGACAGGGAAGATGGTCCATTTCCTGTTCCTGCTATGATAGAGCAGGGCTACTTGGATAGTGTCTATGGTGACTTCTGGGAAGGACAAAATTTCCTGCTCAGCTCCGTCTCGGAGAAAAGAGGCTCAGCTACCAAGTGTTTCTGGGAGATGGGGGAGAGAGGTGCAGCCTCTACGGCTGAATAAGAACCCAAAGGGAAGAGAACCCTTTAAATTTGGAAGCCTGAGAAGCACGAATAAGGGATCTGATTGGCTCAGGTTTGGGAAATCTGCGTCTTATGATTTCCCCCATTATAAAGATTTTCCTCATTCAACAACCAATTGGAAAACTACCCTATTGACAGATTAGGGAGCCCTGATAACGCACACACTCAACACATACGCAAACAACACACGCACGTACCTGCGCACCAATAATATACGCGCATCACATATTACACTTCGAGGACACGCCGAAACACAGACACACCATACTGACAGACCCAAATACAGCAGGACTTGACGCGGGAGGCTGTTGCATCCCCACGCATCCCCTAAAATACACTCAAGGACTGGGGAGGAGAGGGAGATTGAGGATAGGCGTTGCGCACATGGCCCTGCACTCAGACACGTGCACCGAAAAACACTCCGCGCCTATATGCGTTCCCTGTTAGGTACGCACCTTGGACAGACACCGTCTCGAGGACCGACCTGCCCAAACGCCCTCCCAGGCAGACCGCACATTACCGCCCGAGCACGGCGGACCCAAAGCCCCAAATCTAAAGGAAAAGGCATCGCAGGCTAGTGAGCGAGGAAATAAGATGCGCTCCGGAGGAAATGGGACTCGGGAGCCAGCGAGTGGGAGTCTGTCCCCTGCCCCTGTCCCGCAAGCCTTACTGATCCTGGTGCTGCGGCTGGTGACTGTGCGGCGTCTCCCTGCCCTGCGCCGCGGCCTCACTGAGGTGGTGCCGGACGACCCCGCCAAGGAGGGGGCTCCGGCTCAGGTGACCCCAGCCTCCCCTCCGGCAATGACTGCCGGCCGTGCTAAACGCATTCTGCAGAGCCCTCATGGAGCGCATCCCCCAGCACGCCGCCGCTCCGCCAGAGCGCCCAGGGCGTCTGAACGGTGTTTGGAAGGAGGGGCGGAGGAATCGTCGCGGAGGACAGGTTGTGGAGAGCTCTGTGATGGAGAGCGAAGCCTGGGAGGTGGAGAATAGGGGCCTGGTGGGCGGGGTTGAAGCAGGAGGAGGAGCCTGTCCGCAGAAGGCTCCGGCCTCTAACAGGTGTACCCAATAGCCCCTGAGCTAGGGACCAGTTAAGAGTGCACCCATTAGGAAGAAAAACCGGGATTAGGGCATCAAGTGCGTGGTGAGAAGAGGGCGGTGCCTGGGTGTTGGGATGGACAACGCCGAGGTCCAATCACTGAGGAAGGAAAAATTTGGGGGCAGAGAAAAGTTGACGCTACCCAATGAGAGCAAGGCGATGGGCTGTCCTCAAAAGCCTGCGGATTCCTCCGCGCTGCTGGAGGAGTGGAGTGGGGCGGGGGCGGGGGGCAGGGGAGTGGGACTGTGGCCGGCCGTGGGGACAGACGCCAAGGGCGGGAACAGCGAAGCTGGATGGTTGCAAAGCCCGCGAGGTCCCCAAGGACCCGGAGGTTTAGAACCATGAAATTCTCGGAGTGGAGGGTGGTGCCTCTCTACGTTCGGATAAGAGTGAGACCTGTACAAGAGGCTACTTAATGACCTTCTACATTCGAAGGCCAAAACCGGCCCTCAGTAACCCGCTGTGCCATGCGGCCTGGAGGCCAAAGGAACGCCTAGTTTGTGTCAACGCCTAGTGGTATTGGTGAGTGAGGTGTCAAATGGCCAGAAAATACACCGACCAGAAAATACACCGACCAAAAACCGTCCTCTGGGGAATTTAGTGAGGTCATGAGGCTGTAAAAAGGTCACCCTGGTTGTTGCTAGAATTCCCGAGTTCTCCTTTTTATCTCTACCAATTATTTGGTGGCTGTTTAGGACTTGGGCATTTTTAACTCTGAGCCCTTAAACATTTTATAAACTGTTAAGTACTCCCAAAATTTTAGCTATTTTATTTTATTTTATTTTTATTTTTTAAAGATTTTTTTTTATTGGGGAATTGGAGGAGGGGAACAGCATTGGGGAATCGGGGAAGGCGAACAGACAACTTGCTGTCCTTTTGTTCTTCAGTCTAGTTGTAGAGGACATTGCTTCACTGGCCCATGTTGGTATTGTGATAATTGTGCTCTTTCCGACTGAGGCAGATTGGTCGCCGGACCCTGGATGGCCGCTCAGGGCGGCTCTTGGCAGCTCACGCCAGCTGCCAGCCACTCACGCTGGCTGTTGGCCATACACGGTAGCTTATGGCAGCCCACTGCAGCAGGGGCTGCAGCCTACGCTGTCCCTGGCGACTCACAGCAGCCCAGCTTCAGGTTGAGCTGCTGTTCACCATCTTAGCTATAGAGGGCAGTGTCACTGGCCCTCATGTGGGATCCGAACCCGGGCCCTGCTGCTCAGAGCTGGTGTCCCAAGCCAGCTCTTAACCAACGCGCTACTCGGCCGGCTCAATTTTAGCTATTTTAGATGATTGCCTTGTGTTCCTGTGGGCAGAAAAGAAGTGATGGCACAAAAAGAGTTTTGAGGGGCCGGCCAAGTGGCGCGTTGGTTAAGAGCTGGCTTGGGATGCCAGAGGGCCCCGGTTTGGATCCCACATATGAGGGCCAGTGACACTGCCCTCTACAGCTAAGATGCTGAACAACAGCTCAACCTGGAGCTGGGCTGCCGTGAGTCACTGACGACGACAGCGTAGGCTGCAGCCCCTGCTGCAGTGGGTTGCCATGGGCTACCCTGTGTGGCTGGCAGCCAGCCTGAGCGGCCAGCAGCCGCTGTGAGTGGCTGTCCAGAATCTGGCAACTGATCTGCCTCAGCCGGGAGTGGATGGTGCCAACTTGGGCCAGTGAAGCAACGTCTTCCACAACTAGACTAAAGAACAAAAGGATAGCAACTTGTCTGTTCCCCTTCCCCCAATTCCCCAGTGCTGTTCCCATTCCCCAATTCCCCAATAAAAATCTTTAAAAAAAAAAGTTTTGAAAACTCAGCATATTGAGGAATTTTATCATTTGCAACTAGGAGAACATTCACCTGTATCTTCACATCGCCTAATACAGCATCTATATTTTGTAGGAACTCATATAAATAATAGTTATTATCTAGTTCATACAGTGTGCCAACCACTTTATATAGTCTATTCCTCTTACCAGAGACCTACAAAGTAGTTATTAGTCCTATTTTGAAGATGAGGAAACTAAGACTCAGAAATTAGGACTTCTTTGAATAAGATGATCCAGCTAATAAGTAGTAGGGCCAGAAATCAGACCCACGTCTCCGACTATAATCATTTCTCCCATCATGCAGCTCTTCCCAAAATTAAGTGTTGAATTGAATTATCCCAGGAAATGACCTTATCTCTAAAGGAAGCATTTTATGTGGAAGCATTATGATACAGTACTGAGTTGTCTAGAGGCTGGCTGTATCACTTACTTTTCATTTTTAGGTTAAAATGAGCATCAAGGGTAACCGTGGGAAAAATAAATGTCAAAACCATACTGTGGTGTGTTCCGTGGAAATACAGTTCTCCTTTGCCTTGGTTAGGGTTGGAGGGTTTATTTAGTTTGAAACCAGACGGAGTGACCTTTCTTTTGTTTTTCCCTTCTGTAGTCATTCTCTCTCTGCCCTATCTGTTCTCCTATGGATAGGACTCTCTAATTCAGGGACTCCAGCATACTCTGGGCTGTGCAGCCCAGAACTCATGGGTTTTGCCCATGGTTCTATAAGAAAGTTCTGGGTCAGGCCGGCCGAGTGGTGCATTGGTTAGGAGTTGGCTTGGGACGACAGCTCTGAGCAGCAGGACCCCGGTTCGGATCCCACACTAGAGCCAGTGATGCTGCGCCTTCTATAGCTAAGATGGTGAATAACAGCTCAACCTGGAGCTGGGCTGTTGCGAGTCACTGGCGACGGTGTAGGCTGCAGTGGAGCTGCAGTGGGCTGCTGTGAGCTGCCGTCCAATGGCCGGCAAGCGACTGCCTGACCCAGGAAGAGCGCAATGATAACAGTACCAACATGGGCCAGTGAAGCGATGTCCTCCACAACTAGACTGAAGAACAAAAGGACAGCAACTTGTCTGTTCCCCTTCCCCGATTCCCCAACGCTGTTGCCTGCCCCAATTCCCCAATAAAAAAAAAAAAAGAAAGTTCTAGGTCTTAATACCTCGTATAAACTCAAGCCAGCATTAGTTTTTCCAAATGTAACAAGCTAATCTTATCCTTGTTTTATAGGACTGTTATTTCTCTGAAGCTCTCTGAGCTGTCAAGAGAAAGATACCATGTATTAGGGGGATTTCTAAATATTACCCAGTTATTTGCTCCCTTTAATTCCTACTCCTGTTTTTTTGAATTAGCCTTAATTATAATCAGTATTGAGTTCCTTACTCCCTTTCTCCCCAGTTCTCTTTGATAATAGGAACTGGTTGGGCAGTGAAGAAAATCTATCTGTAGAAGGGGAGGTTGTTTGCATAGAGAACTAGCCCCCAGCTGCACTTTGACCTTTGGACTGATTCTTCCTTTACTACAATATTGCTGCCTTTGCATGAGGATGGAGCATGAACCGGTTTCTTGGGAGGCCCACAGCATTGTATAAAGTATAAGATATTCAAGAAGAACAAGTTTGTTATCCCACATAGTTAAAACTTGGCAGTGTCAGATCCTTTTTTGCTTCTGATTTGAAAAGGACCCAACTAGTTAAATCTGTAAAAATGTTAGCCAACTGTGACATGGCCAGCTAGAAATGAGGCTTTTCATAAGTGAAAGAAAACCCTTTCCTGTATCTAATAGGTTTTTAGGTCAGTCTCTGTTTGTGCCAGAGTTTTGTGGTAGAGGGGAGAATTGCTCTTAATTAGTTTGAATCCTTAAGTCAGAAAAGCTAAATCTTCTGGGGTGCAAAATTGGAAACTTGATGTTTGTGTTTGGAGAATGTTTACTTTTTTAAAATTTTATTTTATTGGGGAATTGGGGAAGGGGAACAGTGTTGGGAAATTGGGGAAGGGGACCAGCCAAGTTGTTGTTTTTCAATCTTCGTTGTGGAGGGCACCAGTCGCCATCTGGCTTCCCTTCGGCAGCTCATGGCCTCTAAGCTCAAGGTGCTGTGTTCAATCTTAGTTGTGGGTGGGCGTAGCCACCATCCCATGAAGGAGTCGAACCAGCAGCCTTGTTGTTAAGAGTGCACGCTCTATCCACTGAACCATCCAGGTGGCAGCTCAACTCAAGGTGCCGAGTTCAGTCTTAGTTGCGGGTGGGCGTAGCCCATCATGGAACAGGCAATCTCATTGTTACACCAGCTGAGCCATCCTGCCACCTGTTGGCAGCTCAGCAGCAACAGCTCAGCTTGGGCTCAGCGTCACTGGCCCATGTGAGAATCGAACCAGCGGCCCTGTTGCTCAGAGCTCGCGCTTTTAAGCCAACTCTTAACCAACTGAGCCATTCGGTCAGCCCGAATGTTTACTTGTTATGATTTAGCAACTCATTTGTTCAACTCTTTCGACTGTAGCTAGACTGTTAATTAGTCCAAGTGAAAAATTATTTCACATAAGTTATATTTTTCATTAAGCTTTGTTCTGCTAATGTTACTATTGGTGCACACTCCTTTCTGCCTTAGTTTCTCCATTTATAAAGACAATCTTCTATTTTACTGGGTAAAATGTAAGTACTGGGAGCTCTGACATAATGATCTTCCACTCATTCAACTAATATATTCATTGTCCTGCAGTGTGCCAGGCCCAGTGCTAGGAAATCCAGAAATTAAAAACCAAAAAATGATTTCTGACTACTGGGAGAAATGAGAAAGCCAGTGTTTAAAATTCCTAATGAAAAATGCCCAGATGAAGAGATATGCAGAAGGAAGTATAAAGTAGGGGCACCTAACTAGGATCAGGGTGAAGGGCAGCTGAGATAATGGGGGTGGGGCCTCAAGGAATGTTGGGTAATGGGAACCAGCTCTTAAAGGATGAGAAATGTTTACAGGGAGGTGAGGAGAAAGGTATTCCAGACAGAGGGCTATGCAAGAACAAATAGCATAAGAGGAATATTTGAGGGACTCTAGATCAGTTTGTTTGGAGTGCAGGTTTGGTTAGGTGTGAGAATGTATGGACCAGTGAAGCTGAGGGTGTAGGTGGGGTCCGCATTATGAAGAGTTTTGAACACTGTGATAAGAATATTCAACTACATCCTAAAGGCAGTTCATAGTCAATCTT